TTTTGTAGATGTTGTCTCCAAGGAAACACTAGAAAAAAAGAGAGGGACTTTTTTAGCAGAAGACCAGAGTGGTAGCCTTCTTTAACACAATGGAAAAGGTCAAAAATTGGGTTACCTAAAGAAACTGAGTCTACAGTGTAAAATTGTTTTGAATTACTTAAATTTAATTAGGATTTAGATCAAAGAATTGCACTTAAAGAAGAAAAAATTTAGTTTAATAGCCTTTAAAATTAATTTAAAAGTGCGTAAAAAGTAAATAGATATGCAAAGCCTCAAAAACTTCACATTTATAGCTGAAACGCCTACTAAGTCCAAAGCAAGCGTGAAGCAAAAGTAAAAAAAAATTTCGTGAAAAGTATGGTTTTGTGCTAATTCTTGGACACAGTTTCAAAACTGATTTTAATCAAAACTGATTGTCGGTTAAAACTGTTTTTAATCAAAAATTGATTTTAGTCTTGGTCAAACTATTTTATAAATTCTTGTAATTAAGATGATGTGTTCAGAACTTGCATGACCCTGCCACGGAAAATTCAGAACTGTTTCCGTCTTGTTTGCCACTTATCGTTAAATTCAATTAGATGAAACAACGCTAGATGAGGGTAAGGAATGGGGTAGGACAGGAGGGAGAGGGGGGAAGGAAAAAAACAAAAGCTTGTAGCCTTGCTAAGAGTCGCTGGCTGTTGCACATTGGTGAGTGATAGCAGCGGGAAATTGCACCAGGGGGCAGGGGCGATCGTGCATTTTTGCACTATTTCATGCTGTAGTACGGTCGCAAGGAATCACAGTAGCTAAAATTTGTGACGTAGTGGCCCTTGAAGTACAGGAAGTTAACTGTGCAGCTACGTGGCATGTCAGCTGTAGATGCTGATTTCAGTGACTCGAGAAATGGAAAGCTGCTAATGTGCGAAAAAGACCCCACTAGAAGAGCTGAATTTGGAATCCTCTAGTCGCACATGAGTAAGGAACAGTATCTCAAACTCCAGCCTTCCTCTCAAATTCTAGCTTTTTTCATGCCCGAGTTGGCAATTTCCTAGTTAAATTTCCACGTGCCTGTACGTAAGAAATAAGCG